GGTTGTGAAAGTTGCTCAAACGAGGCAGGGATGCACAGCCACGCAGGGCAACATTGCCGCTAGCGCGCCAGATTCCTGTCCCACCAACTGCACAGCTTTGCTGCCGCAAATCTATGAATCTAGTAACACCTCCCCGAACCTGCCCCCCTTAGACTCGCTGGAAAGGGTGGCCTTCCTTGTCTTCCGCAACACTGTATCATTCCGACATTCGAACCTTGAGCATGCGCAAAGTGCTCAGCAAACCCATAAGTTTCCATGGGCAGCCAGCGGGGCCTTCGGGGTCATACCACTTGCAATCGCAGCTTGTGGATTTCAGATTGGTACAACACTTGAAGAACACTGCACCAAACAAGGATATCAACAAGCTGAGGGTTGAGAAGAGTTAAGTGTAACACCCCATGCTCCGGCATGTTCTCCGTTTGCAGCGTCAGCATCTCCCCTGTCCTGTGTTGTGGCTCAAGAAAAACAGAACATCGAGAAGACTGCTTCACAGTTGACTTGATACGCTCCTGCTTCTGTGCAGTGGACGCAGGATCTTGCTGCCTGATGAAGCAACCCCTACTACAAATGTCTCATTGTACCTCTTCCTCCTGAGCAGCTGACTCTGTGCCCTCTTGAACGCCGGCGCCAAACCAACAGCCCTTCCAGCGTTTGCCCTTGCACTTTCCCTTGCTCTTCCCCCACCACTTCTCCTAACAGGATGTGAAAAAGACGCACGACTCATATAAAGTACTAGCTTTGTCTTCTCAAGGAGTTCAACAATTCATAATAACACCATCCACATATGTCTCGTCCTCACGCTCGATGGGAATATCTTGAGACCTCGGGTCCAAAGATGGCGTCCGACACCATCAGAAGTATCCCTTGTGTGTTGCCGAGGGCTGTAATAGTGACCACCAGAAACACAACCAGAAATAACGATAAAAATGTGAAATCTGCACTCATATTGGCCAGCATGCGGGGCTCACATAACTATCAAATGCCTGATGTTCCTGAGGTTTGGTGCAACCAAGTAAAGTGGTGGTAAGCAGGTTCAACCCTGTAGCATGAGGCTGCAGCCCTGGCATTTTTCGCATCCCATCAGGTGCTCAAAAGCTGTACTTGCTGTGAAGCCAGGGCCCCATCTCAGAAAGTGATCGGAAATCAGTTCCAATAGATGTTGTATGATGTTGTTGTTTTGTGTTTTTTGCTGTTTGTGTGTGTGTGTGTGGCAAAACGGCTGGAACGCAACCACATCTAATTGCTCCCAGGACACGAAACAAAGCACGAGAAAGCGGCCCAAAAAAAAACGAGAAAGAGAGCGAGAAAACAGCAAAAAATAACACGATAAAGCTGCCAAAAAAGACACAAGAAAACCACAAAAAAAAACGAGAAGAAACACGATAATACGGCCAAAAAGGCAGGAGAAATCGCACGGCTTTTCTAGAATCCTGTGGTCAAAAGGTCGTGCTTTTCTGGTGGCTTTTGCAATTAAACTCTGCATTGAAAAGCACGAAAAAGCATGAGTAAAAGCACCAGAAATAGCACGAGAAAAGCTTCTAAAACACAGCTCACTGACCCAAGAGAGTGTGGAACTCAGGAACTCAGGGATTAGCCTGGCCTGCCCAAAAAACACGAGAAAGGAGCCACAAAAGCATGAGAAGAAGCACGAGAAAACGCACAGCTTTGCTAGAACCCTTTGGCCAAAAAGTCATGTGTTTCTAGAATCTTGTGGCCAGCATGTTGAAAGGAGATTTGGAGGCTTATCAAAAAATGGAACATGGTTCATGGATGGTGGCTAGAGCTTCCAAACTTGACAGGCAGTTCACCAGGTTTTCGGCAACTTAGATAGTTTTGCTCCTGATGTCTCAACTTGTTGTCAGGCACTTTCTGATCTCATGACCAGAAATCACAAAAATTGAATCTCAAGTGCAACATCCTATGTCAGCTCCCTCAGGGAGGGTGAAAATGTAATGAGCCTTCTTGTGGCTATATGTGGCCATTATAGGGGACAGGGTGCTTACAAAGTATCCCGATGTAAATTCATACAGTTCCCTGTACCCCCCCATTTGACAGCGCTTAGACTGGGTTCACCCAATTGAGACTTCTTCCCCAAACAGTGTGGTCACACCGAAAAAAGAAAAGGGTTTAGGGTTTAGGGTTTGGGGTTGAAGGGGTACCTAGGTAATCCTAGGTACATGATTATCATTCCTTTTGTCCAGCGAGCGACTGCCACTCTCCACCGAGCCACCCCGGAGATGCCACGCCCTCGCTGCCAGCGGCATTCACGGTGTCCTCACCGGTGGTGAACGGACACCGGAGACAAAACGAATCAACGGTTCCAGAAACTGGGGCCGCATCGAAGGGCCTGAGCCTGTTGCGTGAAACCATGTTGTCTGACATGATGTGTTCTGTCGACCTTCGACTTTCAGATCTGATCTCCCTTTCGGACCCGGTTCAGGCCGCACGGGTTGCTCCCCTCGCTGTCGACCTCCGGTCGACCGGCCGAGCCTCGGCGCTCGCCACACCTGCCTCGTCTGGCCGAGCACCGACAGCCTCAAGGGCACGCCCTCTCAGAGAGGTCCCAAGAGATCCAGCGGTTTTTGGACGCAGGGGGTTCTGAAACACCTGACACCTACCCAGTCAAACAGCCCAAACAACCCAAAGAAGTGGGGAACTTGTACTGCGCGCAGCAGTAAATGTGTAAAAAAATACACACTGTAGCTAGCACACCTACAAGTACCTGAAATGACACTGAGAGTAGTGAACAAGGCTTTGGTCTCGAATTCCCAGCTATGTGTATTTCAGGCTCACCACCCCCAGCTGCATACAATTTGCCACTCATGGCCCCACTCATGGCCGCATACTATCGCAAGCTCACTACGAAGATGGCACGCTCTTTGTTACAACCGAATTTGCAAACAGCAAAACGAACCGAACCTAGTGTACTGGTAGATGCTTAAACAGCAAAACCCCATGAGAAGAGGGCTCATTGGACCCTCATAGCTAGGGTTTTGACCCTCACAGCCAGGGTTTTGGACCTCAAACATGTAGCAGTTTGAGGGTCCATGAGCCTCTGAGTAAACACAAAATAGGCTAATATGTAATTAACACTTCATTGGTAAATCTCTTTGACCTCCTTTCATGTTGGGAGCTCTTCCCGTTGTCCCGTTCAGCGCTGCCAAGATTCGTCCTTCGAACCCGGCGGAAGCCTGACAGCGGCGTCGACGCGCTGCCTTCCCGCCGCGCGGCTACCCAGCGGTCCATGGGTCCCGCCTGCGCGACTGGTCCGTCTGCAGCGTCAGCGTTAACCTCACCAATGGGTGAACGAACAAAAGACCATGCCGACGCCACGCTGAAAAAAACAACAGCCCCCCCTGAATGGTTTCGCCGTCCGACACAAGCCGTGCTTTTTTTGAGGGTTCCGAATTGAGCCCGTCGCTTCAACAGCCGGCTGTTTCCGCTCCTCCTTTGCCTCGGAAGGGATTGTTCGGCTCCGGCCCCTCCCGGAGGCAAAGAACGGCGAACGCTCGGCGCGCCACAGGCTGAGAAAGTCGGGAAAGGTGGCCGGTGCCAAAGTGCAAAGATCTCCTTCATCATCTGCCTGGGTCAATGGCATCACTGGGAAATCTGGGTCAATGACCATGCATGTTGTTCTAGTCGTTCTTTCTTTTTTGGGGGGTGGATTGTGGGTTGGTGTCACCTGATTTAGACGTCCAACTCTCATCCGTGCCACATGTTCAAAACGTCCAGCTGTTCAGTCCCCTACATATTTCAGCACGCAAGCGCCACCCTCCCTCAGCTTCTGGGCCACATCAGGACCTGACACCATTCGAGCGGTCGACACCGTCGGACACCTCGCAGCGGACCCACCGTCGGGTCTCCGGGGCACGGACGACAGTTCTTTGCCAGTTCCATGATCGCCTCGAAGGTTGGCCTCGAAAGGCTCGCGGAAGCCGGCCGCGCGACGCGCCGAAGCCGCGCGACGCGACGCCCGCTGATGTTCGCAGTTCCTCACAGTCACAAGCCCGTCAGGCGCTGTTCGGACTGGGCGTTGGATGACTTGGCAGCCGGCTCTTCTGGAAGCTGCCGGCGGAAAATCTCCCCATCGTCACAATAGAACTTCACCACCGTCTGTCGTGAAATACATGGCCAATAATGGCAATTCGGGCCACGGACGGCTGGCATGACTCTGCACTTGACTTCGATCGTTCCCAAAGGATCCTTCACTGTTGAACGAACACCGTCGCGGTTTTCGTTCATCTCTGGCACCGCTTTTACACGAAAAGGTGCAACCAAAATGCGCTCGTCATCAGGGCCCAAATGGGGCCTTCATCTCGGTGCTTTCGTCCCGATCATTCGACGGTCTTTCTTCTTCGGTCCGACGGTCGTCAAGGACAGGTCAGGTCTACGGTCATGGTCGCAGTCGGTATGGTCGTCCGGCTGCAGTTCCTGGAAAAAGACCATGGTCGAAGCCGGCCATTCAGAATGCAAGAGATACATCCCAGTCGGTGTTTTTGGGGAGGAACTCAGTTCACTTGGTAGTGGAAAATCTATGCAATTCTCTTCTTTTTTATCATATGTTGTCATCCATGTTGTCATCCTCACTCAACCCTTCACTTTGGAGCTTTTGCTCGGGTCCCCCTTAAAGCTCAGGTCCCGTGTCGGGCCACATCTGGTATGCTGCGGGTCGTCGCCTCGCCTCGCGTCTCGAGCTTTGAATCAGATTTCTTCAGGACAACGCCTTGAGCCAGCAGCGGTGCATGCAGAAACCGGCTGAAAAAGGCTCTGGAGAAGTGCCTGTCAAGCTTGAAACCATGAGCAAATGCAAGAGAACCAAGCAATATGATAATGATACTACCAGTAATTACTAATTACTGTACTATAATTACTATGAAAGTGGTTTGGTTGCAAGTTGGAAGAAGGTGTTCAATGGAACATGGCTTGAAAGTGCTTGGTTGAAAGTTGAAACACCAAGTCATGCACTTGAAGCAAATCCGAAACTGACTGACGGTCTTTGTCTCACAAATGATGTCATTCTCGCGAGAGAACATGATCACAAATCCCTGAACCGTCTTAAACAGAACATGTCAGGGCCTGAAAGCGAAGCCTTCCTTGAAGGTGGGCTGGCCAAATCTGTACCAATTGGCACCAGCAGCACAGCGATGCAAAGCCTTCGTGCTATAGCAAGGTGCTAAACAAACCGCCTCAGGGCAGCCTCCTAGCAGTAGCATTAGCCAGCATCAGGTGCTGCAGATTTCTCCTTCAGACCACATCAGACCTGCAGCTTGCCCTTTCCCTTGCACTTTCCGCTCTTCCCTGACCAGCTCTCCTGAGTGTCTGAAAACCTTCAAACAGCTCTCCAGTCCGTGACGTCCGACTCGTCCAATTTGTTGAGACTCGTCAGAAATAACACCTGCAACCATCCCAACAGTCCTCCTTGGCTGGAAGGTGACCTTGAGACCTCCAAGTTGACCAAAAGGTGAGGATTAAGAAATCAAGACTCAACATGTCTGGGTGCTCAGCATCGGACGCAGGTGCAATGGGTGGCACGTCCACTGGTCCACATTGGCTGACGGGCTCGCCCTTGCAGTGCTTGTGCTTGCCCTGTCCCTTGCCCTTTCGTGCCATTGGCCACTCCGTAATCATCTCCTGTGGTGGTTCGTCAAAAAACTGGCACTTGCCCTTCTTCAGCCTTTGGTCCAGCCAGTAATTAGATTAATTAGCAAAAAATATCCCTTTTGATTCTGTAGATCACCAGGCCGTCATGATTCTGTAGAGGAAATGAAATATCAAAAAAGCGAGCGAAAGAGATTGCGACTGCGACGGGTCCTCCAACACTGGCAGCAACGACGAGGCCACCGCTTCAGCGAATGATTGCGCCTGAAAAACACCAGAGGGGGAAGCCAAAGAACCGTACTGGGTTTGTGCGTTGAAGCCGGCCTGCAGGCCAAGCTTATCCAGAGCTTTCAGCAGTTCAAGAACAGCTTCGCCCAAGCGCCTCTCAAACTATAGAACTGTCAAAAACAAAGTCAAATGTCTATATAAGTATCATGACTCTACTGCTCATCATCCCTGCTTGTGTCATCATTTGAAGGCCTAGCCTCTGGTCATTGTCACCACTCAGAGCCTTCCAAAGGTCTCAAACATTATCCAAGAAAACTGTTGGGCAAAACACTAGATGTAAAGTAATCATGCAAGTTGTCCGTGCACAAGACTCACAGATTGATCTCAAAAATGGGACTGACAGAACTGAATTAATTGAACTCAGCTTAACATCGCCGGACCCAGGCTAACTCTGTGAATCTTGAAAATAAAAAAATGCAAAAACAATAGCTAAAAAAAGCAACTACAAAAAGCAAAAGCAATCAAAGCAAATCCAAAAAGGAGTTTTAAAAAAAGCAAATGAAAAGGCAAAAGCAAAAAAACAAATCCAAAAAGAAAAATGCAAATGCAAAAGCAAAAGAAAAAAAAAAGCAAATGAAAAAGCAAAAGCAAAAAGGCACATCCAAAAAGCACAAAAAACTAATGAAAAAGAAAAAGCAAATCCAAAAAGCAAAAGCAATTGTCCGTGTGTTTTCCGCTCGTTTTTCGCTGTGTTTTTCGCTGTGTTTCGTTTTTTTTGCTTGCCCGCATTTGCTTCGCTTTTTTTCGCATTTGTGTCGCTATGCTTTCGCTTTTTGAGTTGTTGTTTTCCGCTTTTTTGTTCGGTCTTTTTTCCGCTTTTTGCCTTTTCATTTGTTTTTGTGTTTTTTGTTTCGCATTTTGTTTTGCTTGCTTGTGTTTTTTGTAGTTGCTTTTGTTCCTTTTTTTTTCTTTTTTTTGTGATTTGGAAAAACCATCAGGGATAGCCTAAGTGGTTTTCTTAAAACTCAGCCAATCCCGACCTCGGCAATCAAAGCTGTGCATGCTGTTCCAAGCCTGGAGTCTTCGCAGCCTGCTCCTACCAGCACAAGATTAAGCTCTCAGATCAGGCAGAAGTTGCTGCATGTCATATCATCCTAAACCTGACAAGTCCTGAACGATCTCCAGCATCTTTTGAAAGTTTGGGTCCAGCCCTTCTTTCGCTTTGCCATTGATCCTGACTCATAGACTCTGACGGTTTCTCTCCAAGAACAAGACTCTGGAAAAAGCAATGCTTGAGATGGAGTGACGTTTCACGCGAGGCTGGCAAAAAAACTTTAAAGAATCACAGACATTTCAGGTAGCGTGTGCAGATTCTGCAGATTCGCAAGTTGGGTTTGCTAAGTGGCAGGCTTCTTCACCTTCTGAGCTGCAATGTGAATAAGGAATGGAAGCGATTGCCTGGCAACCAGCCATTTGGATGAAACTGCGGTGGTCAGGCTGATGCACGTAAGCCAGACGGTGATGCACAGCCAGGCAGGGAAACATTGCTGCTAGGATGCCAGTGTCCTGTCCAATTTCTCTCAGAAGCTGCATCGGCCCAGCAACGTACCCACCACAGCTGAAGCCACAAATCCACTGTCAGTACTGTACACAACTAGTCGTCAAATGGTATCGAATATCGGAGAACTGGCTGAGCCCTCCAACAGCCCTGCCGCTGACTTGCGCCACACGGCCACTCCAACAACTCCTGTTCTCAGACCGCACCTTCAACATACGCATGGTGCGGAGGAATCCCGGCAGTCGCCATCGGCCAAAGCCATTTCCTCAAGGAATCTTTACTTACTAGTAAGAATGCTCCGTTCGTGAGCGGTTAGCGATGAGCCCCTTACTCGTAGCGTCCGATCCCTCCGTTCGTAGTAAGGCCAGGAGCCCCGTTCGTAGCTTCTTGTGACTAGTAACAAAAGGAAGTCCAAAGTCACCAAAGTTGAATTCGGACTGAAATAAGCGTGGCGCCGCCTGGTCCACATCCTGCATCTGCATCACCCAGGTCCTTGCAGGACGTAACGTGAGGTACAGTAAGTATTGCAAGCGACATCCAGTTTCGACCAAAAACCGCCCTTCATTCGGGACGCTGGACATCCAAATAGAAGTGCTTCATTGTCTCCTGCTGTTTCGCTGTAGATGCAGGATTTTGGTGGCGCTTGTCCTTGCCCTTCGCGCCCTTTCGTGCCATGGGCCACTCCGTCACCTCCTGTGTTGGGTTAATTCAAAAGCGGCAAAGAGATTGCGACTGAAGCTTGGGGTCCTCCAGTATTGGCAGCAAAGAAGGGGCTACAGCTTCGGAGAAGCATGATTGCACCTCGTCAGTGAATCAAAATGATTGTTAGGTGTTCACTGGTTTGAAGCTAGCCTCCAGGCCAAGCTTATCCAGAGCTTTCAGCAGTTCAAGAAGAGCTTCGCCCAAGCGCCTCTCAAACTATAGAACTGTCAAAAACAAAGTCAAATGTCTATATAAGTATCATGACTCTACTGCTCATCATCTCTGCTCGTGGCATCATTTGAAGGCCTAGCCTCTGGTCATTGTCACCACTCAGAGCCTTCCAAAGGTCTCAAACATTCTCCACCAGCACACTCGAGCCAAACAATCAATTTGAAAAGGGACCAAATTCGATCCTGTGTGATGACGGCCGCATGGTGTTCCAGTCCTGGAGTCTTCGCAGCCTGTTCCTTCAAACAAGCGTTGCATCAGGGGAAGAAAATGCTGCAGGTCAACTTAAGCAGGTCCACACAAGTCCTGAATGATCTCCAACATCTTTTGAAAGCATGGGTCCAGCCCATCTTTCGCCATCTTGTTGATCCTGATTTCTGCAGTCACCAGAACCATTTGAGACTTAAGAAGACCCAGAACCACGGTAGCTTGTAAAAAGGTGTGACTAAGTGCCACACTTCTCCACCTGCAGAGCTGCAATTTTCGCAAGGAATGGAAGCCACACCCTGGCAGCGGTCTGGATCAAACATCATGAAACCGGGATTTCGCAGCGGCTGCATGCCAGTGCTGCACAGTGAAGCTGGGAAGCTTTGCTGCGGTCAGGACGCCAGACTCCTGAAGCGGACAGTGCCAAGCGAACGCAAAGGCAACCAGGAGCTGGTGTTTAGCTGACTCGACAAATGACTATACTCTATGTCACATTCCACACCGTTTTATGGCCCCCAGGAAGAAAAAGCTTTCTTCCTGTGCTGTGTTGCTGCTCGGAGCGCTGACAGTCGTCCCACCTTGAGCATTCGCAATGTACGCAAGAGTCCTTTCAGTCTCCATGGACCACAGGGTTTGGGGCCTCACACACCATGCTGACGGGGTGAAGAACACCATGCTGACGGCTCTGCTGCGCTGGATGATACGGCTCGGATGGCCCAGTAGCTCTGATGGTCAAAAGGACTTAAGCACAACACCCCGTGCTCCGGCATGTTCTCCATTTGCAGCATCACTCGTGTCCTCGCAAAGTACAGCAGAGTATCTTCGATTCCGGCTTCAATCAGGGAGTTCTATATATTCAGCGCTTCGTCAAGGAAGACAATGACAACTCCAACATACTCCAACAAATCAACCAAATTGCTCAGAGGTCTCCTGCTTTGGCTGAGTGGAAGCAGGATCTTGCTGCCTCATTGACAAAACATTGATAAAAGGTACCATTTTTTGTACCTGTTTTTGCTCTTATCCCTTTCTGAGCAGCTGGCTCCGTGCCTTTCCAATGCTTGCCCTTGCCCCCTTTGCCCTTGCCCTTGGCCCGGCTCTCCTGACGTCGGCCCTCTCTGTTCGTCTGTTCTACGTGCTGTGCCTTTTTCGTCGTCTCGCTTTCGGTTCTTTCACGCTGAAAAGCGAAGAGCCACAGCTTCTGTCGAAGCACATACGGAAATGCGGAAAAGGCCACCGTTGTTCCGTTGTGGCCCAAACGGGACAAGGCCACAAGCAAAACGGCCATCCGCGAGGAGCGTCCTCACAGTCCTGCTTGGCGTTCATGCTGAGCTCGCCAGACCTCGGAAAGGTGACTGCAGTGAAAAGACGGTCACTGATGTCTGAAGCACCGCTCCGTGTCACCTGGAGTTAAAGTGACTTAAATATGTCATACTGTGAACACCCTGGTTTGGGGTGAATGGGCGTTTCCCTGTCTGTCTGAGCAAACGATGCAAACTACTGTACCTCTTCCACTGGCACCAGCATCAGTCGGGTTCCCATGGACTCTGAAGACATCTGAAAAAGGTGCCAGAAGTTGCGTTGCGAAGACTCTTGGGCTTGCACCGGGATTCCATCTTTGGTGCACTTCTAGTGCTGCTCCTCTGCTTCAGTTCGGGTCTCCACACCGCGCGCTGGACCACGCACATGCAGCAGTCGCAGTGTCTCCTGTTCGCTGGACCATCGGCTTTGGCGGGCAGCTTGAGGGTAAACCTCGACAGCCGACTCCACCAAGTTGACTCATCATCCCTTCCTCTCTTCCGCCGAGCAGCTTCAGCATCCGGCTCTGCGTCTTCTGGTGCCTCGGCCCCGTGGGGTGTCCCACCGGGAACTCGTCCGCGCAAGATCGTCCCAGGTCAGCGATTGGGGTCCACCGCGCGGCGTGCCGGCGTGGAACCGGTTCCGGTGCAGGCCAGCTGGGTCGCAGACAAGGACAGAAAGTCCGGAAAGGTCGCAGGGGCCAAGATACAAAGGTCACCTTCCTCGTCCGCCTCACGCGCGGGGAGACCCCGCAGGTTCAGGTTCTGCATGCGAAGACACCATGGGAGCGTGTTTTCCAAGGTCTTGGACTTGGGAGGGGGTGAGGAGCGACGGTCAATGCGACATGCATTCACGTCTGGGGTGACCCACGTCTATTCACCGACCCGGAGACATCGCCCGATCGAGCTGGATGTGCAGAAAGATCTGCTCCTGGACACTTATTTAAGTGTTATACATATTAGATATGCTGGTTGATCAACTTGAATAGGCTCTCAGTGACATAGGCCTTATGTCGACCTTTCGATCGACTACCATATATATATATAGATCAAAAGTCCAAAGATGTCCAAAGGATGTCCATCCAGAATCTTGAAGCAGGCATAAGGTTACAACCGAGATGATGCTTCCGGTAACAGGGTAAAACATGTCACAAGGAAAAGAGATGAAATATAGGTGGCGCTTTTCCCACGGGTTGCAAACTGGGACAGGCGTCCGACGAAGTAAACTGGACCATCGCAGGGCACGTGCGTTCGGTAACAGCGTCGTTGTTGGGCTAAATGTTATCGATGTCAAGCCCAAGAAAACCATCAAAGCACACCATCTTCGGAGCACTTAGGTCCTGGCATAGGTCATGGCATACTTCGCACAGCCGAAAGGACCCTCTCGCAGAACGTCACCCTTCACATCAGGACCTGAAACCGCTGCTCAGGTCATATCGACCCCCCACTCGTTTTTTCTGAAGTGTATCGACGCTTCAGCCCTTCTTGACCAAAAAGATCCCGTGTCAATTCAGGTGGAGGGGTCCAGGTGGACCCCTGTGATTTCATAGAGGATATTGACATGGAGATCAAAAAAATCAAGATTCTTTGCTTATTTTGCTTCAGCTTCCTCCGGGATCGGTGGATCGGCCATTTCCTCTGAGCGCTCCAGGCGACAGGTGGTCACGAGGTCCACGATCGCCTCAAAGCTGGGCCTGATCGGCGAGCACCCCGCGCGCTCCGCGCGACAACGACACGACTGGGCAGCTGGAGGACCTGGGAAGTGACCTGAAAAAAGCACCGAAGAGACCTGGGTTCATCGGCCACCGAACCTGTTCCGGACCCTGCTGTCCGCCTCCGCATTTCGGAGACCCGTTCTGACGCTGTTTTGAGGGCACTGGGTATGGTATCCCCACCAGCGTCGCGAGTCTAGCCTGGGATGGAACATGATGGATCTGAGCCCCAAAAAGGATGAATTCGGTCCTTGGAAACGACCCACAGCCAGACATGGATGGGTATCTGTGGGTGGCACAACCACCCGCTTGACCCTGGTAGGTGGACCTTCGTCTAGTAGTCGTGTCTACAGTATTCATTTCCGGTGGTGTGCATGTTCATATCTTTAAAAGTCTTACATACCAACACCTGGGCCGTCGGGCGCGGGACGTGCGCGCAAGTATCGATCCGTGGTCAACCAGGGTCCAGTTTTGACCCACATGGACGGTCCTGAGGGCAGTTCAGCTTCGATTCTGGGAGATGTCACTGGGGCAAAGGACTCTTCGAGCTGTCCCCGGAAGATCTCCCCGTCGTCGCACACGAACTTCACGGTCTGTCATGAGCAAAGCATTTGTCAGCACGTTTCTCTGCAGTGTTTTTTGGGAATTGGACACTTCTTGGAGGGCTGGGAGGTGTACTTCTAGATCCACACATCTTATCTCCCCATAAATTGGGTCTGTTAATCTGGCGAAATGGCTTTCTGTGACATGATTTGGACCACACTTCCTCTTCTCGACCTCTAACTCAATGCCATTTCCGACGTGGTATGGTCCACGGCGGCGCTTCGTCGGGCCCAAAAAACAGGTCGGCAAAGCTGCGACCATGTCTTAGCAAAAAAAGCTGTAGCGCTCCTGGGAAGCACACGTTCATCACGTTCAGTGAGGACGAAGCTTACAGTATGACTTTCGAGTTGACTCATGTCACCTAATTTCTATGACTTCGAGGACTGCGGATTGCACATGCTATGTTGCATCCAAGGCTCACAGTATCAAGCTTCGAAAAGCTTCTTTTGGTAGCTTTGCTCACTCTAGGACAACGCCTGATTGAGCCCAAAAGGTTCCGTGTGTAGCTATCTCATAGTATCATATACGCCGGATGCCAGCCAGCCAGGCTGCATAGCATTTGCCAACCGTGTGTATTGAGGGTAAGGGATCAAAAAAAAATAAAAAGAGAATCAAAAAAAAAATATTCAACGGGGATCAATAAAAAAATAAAAAGGGAATCAAAAAAAAATATTCTAGCCCGTAGTAGTAGTAGTAGTAGTAGTAGCAGTAGCAGTAGTAGAAGTAGTAGTAGTAGTAGTAGTAGCAGTAGCAGTAGCAGTAGCAGCAGCAGCAGCACCAGCGTAGCAGTAGCAGTAGCAGCAGCAGCAGCACCAGCACCAGCAGCAGCAGCAGCAGCAAGAGGAGGAGGAGGAGTAGTAGTAGTAGTAGTAGTACTAGTAGTAGTGGTAGCAGTAGCAGTAGTCACGGCGTTCACACGAAGTTAGGCCCTACATGGCGTTGTCAGAGCGCTCAGAGCAGAGAAGTGTTTGGAATGGGTGTAGCAGCATCGGAAGGTGCCTGGGTTTCTTTTGAGGAAAAAGATGTGGTGGACCAGTCTATTTCTAATGGGTGCATTGCGGTCGCAGCCGTACAGGGTCTTTTTCACCAAACACTTATCGAACCCACGAAGGACCAGAGGACCAAG